GGGGGTAGAGGAGGTTCTGTGGGCGAGGGGCTTGGACTTCCAGCAAGCGTGCGTGAGCATGTTAGATAGGAGTGAATGGAGACGACTGGTATTTGGGACCTGACGAGCTGTTGGAGTGTGAGCAGGGTAATATTTAATGGAGGGATTCAGGAAAACCGGTTATTTTTATATAGCCAGACTTGAGTCCTGGAAATGGGAAGTACAATGCCTGCACTTTAAAGGAGGGGTTTGGGATATTGGCAGTTTGGAGGGATATGTTGTGCATCTTTATACATATATGCTGCTGAACTGTTGTATTCTGAGCACCTCTGCAAAAACTGATTATGTGTGAGTGCAGTGAAAGTGTTGAATGATGATGAAAGTATTTTCTTTTTGGAGATTTTCTTTCTTTTTGGGTCACCCAGCCTCGGTGGGAGACAGCCAACTTGTTAAAAAAAAAAATGTATTATAATAATAATTATTATTATTATTATTTTATAGGTAGTAGGTTGGTAGACAGCAACCACCCAGGGAGGTACTACTGTCCTGTCAAGTGAGTGTAAAACGAAACCCTATAATTGTTTTACATGATGGTAGGATTGCTGGTGTCTTTTGTCTGTCTCATAAATATGCAAGATTACAGGCATGTCTTGCTACTTCTACTTACACTTAGGTCACACTACACATACATGTACACGTTTATTTATACACACTCATCTGAGTTTTCTTTGATTTTACCTTAATAGTTCTTGGTCTTATTACTTTTCCCTTTATATCCATGGGGAAGTGGAATAAGAATCTTTCCTCCGTAAGCCATGCATGTTGTAAATCTCAACTAAAATGCCGGGAACAATGGGCTAGTAACCCCTTTTCCTGTAAAGATTACTAAAAAGAATAAGAAGAAGAAAATTGTCAAAGTGGGAAGTCTGAATGTGCGTGGATGTTGTGCAAATGATAAGAGATGATTGTGGATGTTATGAGTGAGAAGAAACTGGATGTCCTGGCTTTAAGTGAAACAAAGCAGAAGGGGGTGGGAGAGTTTCAATGGACAGGAATAAATGGGATTAGGTCAGGGGTTTCAAATAGAGTTAGAGCTAAAGAAGGAGTAGCAATAATGTTGAAGGATAAGCTATGGCAGGAAAAGAGGGACTACAAATGTATAAATTCAAGGATTATGTGGAGTAAAATAAAGATTGGCTGTGAAAAGTGGGTTATAGTAAGCATGTATGCACCTGGAGAAGAGAGAAGTGTAGAGGAGAGAGAGAGAGATTCTGGGAAATGTTGAGTGAACGCGTGGGGAGTTTTGAATCAAGTGTGAGAGTAATGGTGGTTGGGGATTTCAATGCTAAAGTGGGTAAAAATGTTATGGAGGGAGTAGTAGGTAAATTTGGGGTGCCAGGGGTAAATGTAAATGGGGAGCCTTTAACTAAGCTATGTGTAGAAAGAAATTTGGTAATAAGTAATACATATTTTATGAAAAAGAGGATAAATAAATATACAAGGTATGATGTAGCATGTAATGAAAGTAGTTTGTTAGATTATGTATTGGTGGATAAAAGGTTGATGGGTAGGCTCCAGGATGTACATGTTTATAGAGGGGCAAACTGATATATCGGATCATTATTTAGTTGTAGCTACAGTTAGAGTAAGAGGTAGATGGGAAAAGAGGAAGGTGGCAACAACAAGTAAGAGGGAGGTGAAAGTGTATAAACTAAGGGAGGAGGAAGTTTCGGGCGAGATATAAGCGACTATTGGCAGAAAGGTGGGCTAGTGCAAAGATGAGTAGTGGGGGGGGGGGGTTGAAGAGGGTTGGAATAGTTTTAAAAATGCAGTATTAGAATGTGGGGCAGAAGTTTGTGGTTATAGGAGGGTGGGGGCAGGAGGAAAGAGGAGTGATTGGTGGAATGATGAAGTAAAGGGTGTGATAAAAGAAAAAAAGGTAGCTTACGAGAGGTTTTTACCAAGCAGAAGTGTTATAAGAAGAGCAGAGTATATGGAGAGTAAAAGAAAGGTGAAGAGAGTGGTGAGAGAGTGCAAAAGGAGAGCAGATGAAAAAGTGGGAGAGGCACTGTCAAGAAATTTTAATGAAAATAAAAAAAAATTTTTGGAGTTAAACAAGTTAAGAAAGCCTAGGGAAAGTATGGATTTGTCAGTTAAAAACAGAGTAGGGGAGTTAGTAGATGGGGAGAGGGAGGTATTAGGTAGATGGCAAGAATATTTTGAGGAACTTTTAAATGTTGAGGAAGAAAGGGAGGCGGTAATTTCATGCACTGGCCAGGGAAGTATACCATCTTTTAGGAGTGAAGAAGAGCAGAATGTAAGTGTGGTGGAGGTACGTGAGGCATTACGTAGAATGAAAAGGAGTAAAGCAGCTGGAACTGATGGGATCATGACAGAAATGTTAAAAGCAGGGGATGATATAGTGTTGGAGTGGTTGGTACTTTTGTTTAATAAATGTATGAAAGAGGGGAAGGTACCTAGGGATTGGCAGAGAGCATGTATAGTCCCTTTATATAAAGGGAAGGGGGACAAAAGAGATTGTAAAAATTATAGAGGAATAAGTTTACTGAGTATACCAGGAAAAGTATACAGTAGGGTTATAATTGAAAGAATTAGAGGTAAGACAGAATGTAGGATTGCGGATGAGCAAGGAGGCTTCAGAGTGGGTAGGGGATGTGTAGATCAAGTGTTTACGTTGAAGCATATATGTGAACAGTATTTAGATAAAGGTAGGGAAGTTTTTATTGCATTTATGGATTTAGAAAAGGCATATGATAGAGTGGATAGAGGAGGAATGTGGCAGATGTTGCAAGTATATGGAATAGGTGGTAAGTTACTAAATGCTGTAAAGAGCTTTTATGAGGATAGTGAGGCTCAGGTTAGGGTGTGTAGAAGAGAGGGAGAATACTTCCCGGTAAAAGTAGGTCTTAGACAGGGATGTGTAATGTCACCATGGTTTTTTTTTTTTTTTTTTTTTTTTTCAACAAGTCGGTCGTCTCCCACCGAGGCAGGGTGACCCAAAAAAAGAAAGAAAATCCCCAAAAAGAAAATACTTTCATCATCATTCAACACTTTCACCACACTCACACATTATCACTGCTTTTGCAGAGGTGCTCAGAATATAACAGTTTAGAAGCATATACGTATAGAGATACACAACATATCCCTCCAAACTGCCAATATCCCAAACCCCTCCTTTAAAGTGCAGGCATTGTACTTCCCATTTCCAGGACTCAAGTCCGACTATATGAAAATAACCGGTTTCCCTGAATCCCTTCACTAAATATTACCCTGCTCACACTCCAACAGATCGTCAGGTCCCAAGTATCATTCGTCTCCATTCACTCCTATCTAACACGCTCATGCACGCTTGCTGGAAGTCCAAGCCCCTCACCCACAAAACCTCCTTTACCCCCTCTTTCCAACCCTTTCGAGGACGACCCCTACCCCTCTTTCCTTCCCCTAGAGATTTATATGCTTTCCATGTCATTCTACTTTGATCCATTCTCTCTAAATGACCAAACCACCTCAACAACCCCTCTTCTGCCCTCTGACTAATGCTTTTATTAACTCCACACCTTCTCCTAATTTCCACACTCCGAATTTTCTGCATAATATTTACACCACACATTGCCCTTAGACAGGACATCTCCACTGCCTCCAACCGTCTCCACGCTGCTGCATTTACCACCCAAGCTTCACATCCATATAAGAGTGTTGGTACTACTATACTTTCATACATTCCCTTCTTTGCCTCCATAGATACGTTTTTTGACTCCACATATACCTCAACGCACCACTCACCTTTTTTCCCTCATCAATTCTATGATTAACCTCATCCTTCATAAATCCATCCGCCGACACGTCAACTCCCAAGTATCTGAAAACATTCACTTCTTCCATACTCCTCCTCCCCAATTTTATATCCAATTTTTCTTTATCTAAATCATTTGATACCCTCATCACCTTACTCTTTTCTATGTTCACTTTCAACTTTCTACCCCTACACACATTCTCAAAACTCATCCACTAACCTTTGCAATTTTTCTTTAGAATCTCCCTATAAGCACAGTATCATCAGCAAAAGTAACTGTGTCAATTCCCATTTTGAATTTGATTCCCCATAATTTAATCCCACCCCTCTCCCGAACATCCTAGCATTTACTTCTTTTACAACCCCATCTATAAATATATTAAACAACCATGGTGACATTACACATCCCTGTCTAAGACCTACTTTTACCGGGAAGTATTCTCCCTCTCTTCTACACACCCTAACCTGAGCCTCACTATCCTCATAAAAGCTCTTTACAGCATTTAGTAACTTACCACCTATTCCATATACTTGCAACATCTGCCACATTGCTCCTCTATCCACTCTATCATATGCCTTTTCTAAATCCATAAATGCAATAAAAACTTCCCTACCTTTATCTAAATACTGTTTCACATATATGCTTCAATGTAAACACTTGATCTACACATCCCCTACCCACTCTGAAACCTCCTTGTTCGTCCGCAATTCTACATTCTGTCTTACTTCTAATTCTTTCAATTATAACCCTACCGTATACTTTTCCTGGTATACTCAGTAAACTTATTCCTCTATAATTTTTACATTCTCTTTTGTCCCCTTTCCCTTTATATAAAGGGACTATACATGCTCTCCGCCAATCCCTAGGTACCTTCCCCTCTTTCATACATTTATTAAACAAAAGTACCAACCACTCCAACACTATATCCCCCCCTGCTTTTAACATTTCTGTCATGATCCCATCAGTTCCAGCTGCTTTACCCCCTTTCATTCTACGTAATGCCTCACGTACCTCCACCACACTTACAGTCTGCTCTTCTTCACTCCTAAAAGATGGTATACCTCCCTGGCCAGTGCACGAAATTACCGCCTCCCTTTCTTCCTTAACATTTAAAAGTTCCTCAAAATATTTCGCCATCTACCTAATACCTCCCTCTCCCCATCTACTAACTCCCCTACTCTGTTTTACTGACAAACCCATACTTTCCCTAGGCTTTCTTAACTTGTTTAACTCACTCCAAAATTTTTTCTTATTTTCATTAAAATTTCTTGACAGTGCCTCTCCCATTCTTTCATCTGCTCTCCTTTTGCACTCTCTCACCACTCTCTTCACCTTTCTTTTACTCTCTATATACTCTGCTCTTCTTATAACACTTCTGCTTTGTAAAAACCTCTCGTAAGCTACCTTTTTCTCTTTTATCACACCCTTTACTTCATCATTCCACCAATCAAAAGTAAATGCTAGGGTGTTCGGGAGAGGGGTGGGATTAAATTATGAGGAATCAAATTCAAAATGGGAATTGACACAGTTACTTTTTGCTGATGATACTGTGCTTATGGGAGATTCTAAAGAAAAATTGCAAAGGTTAGTGGATGAGTTTGGGAATGTGTGTAAAGGTAGAAAGTTGAAAGTGAACATAGAAAAGAGTAAGGTGATGAGGGTATCAAATGATTTAGATAAAGAAAAATTGGATATCAAATTGGGGAGGAGGAGTATGGAAGAAGTGAATGTTTTCAGATACTTGGGAGTTGACGTGTCGGCGGATGGATTTATGAAGGATGAGGTTAATCATAGAATTGATGAGGGAAAAAAGGTGAGTGGTGCGTTGAGGTATATGTGGAGTCAAAAAACGTTATCTATGGAGGCAAAGAAGGGAATGTATGAAAGTATAGTAGTACCAACACTCTTATATGGATGTGAAGCTTGGGTGGTAAATGCAGCAGCGAGGAGACGGTTGGAGGCAGTGATGTCCTGTCTAAGGGCAATGTGTGGTGTAAATATTATGCAGAAAATTCGGAGTGTGGAAATTAAGAGAAGGTGTGAAGTTAATAAAAGCATTAGTCAGAGGGCAGAAGAGGGGTTGTTGAGGTGGTTTGGTCATTTAGAGAGAATGGATCAAAGTAGAATGACATGGAAAGCATATAAATCTATAGGGGAAGGAAAGAGGGGTAGGGGTCGTCCTCGAAAGGGTTGGAAAGAGGGGGTAAAGGAGGTTTTGTGGGCGAGGGGCTTGGACTTCCAGCAAGTGTGCATGAGCATGTTAGATAGGAGTGAATGGAGACGAATGATACTTGGGACCTGACGATCTGTTGGAGTGTGAGCAGGGTAATATTTAGTGAAGGGATTCAGGGAAACCGGTTATTTTCATATAGTCGGACTCGAGTCCTGGAAATGGGAAGTACAATGCCTGCACTTTAACCCTTTGACTGTTTCAGGCCCCTCTCTGAAACTGTCATTCTATGTCGCTCAATTTTGAAAAAAAAAAAAAAAAAAAAAAAAAAAAAAAAAAAAAAAAAAAAAAAAAAAAAAAAATCTTATGAAATGATAGAGAATCGTTTCCCGATGGTAATGACACCAAAAGTTCGAAATTTGGTCGAAAACTCATGGAATTATGCTCCCGCGAAGTTAGCGGTCTCGGTGACATATGCGTATCGGCGATTTTGCCGACTTTGAGCCCTATTTTCAGCCAATTCCATTGTTCCAGTTGACCAAACTCATAGCTATTTCTTTAGAACTCCATTTTATCTATCAGCTGAGTACAAGAAACCTCCCATTTACTAATTTGGACTACCCAATATGGTGGCCAGAAATTGGCAATTTGGCCAATTTCACGCAAACTAAAAAAGATGCCAATTTCAAAACAGGGTCCAGAATAAACAAGGTAGACATTCGTGGCACTAAAATAACATATGCTCTGTTCATTAGTCACATCTCTAGGCCCCTCTTGTATTATTATTGCTTTCTATTTTGATTTTTTATTCATACAAAAAAATACAAAATTTACTGTTATGCAGACTACTGCATTATTGTAAAAATGGTATAAATAATTTCAGTGCACTAGTGAAAGAATATTAGACTCCCCAGTTGACGTGAATTGGACGTGTGGTGTGATTTATTTACTCCTGAACATTGGTAAAAATCGAACATTTCCGCTACTTTGAGCTCAGTTTCAAGGTCGTTTTCATTGTCAAAGTAATGAAAATCATCTCTATTTCTGTAGTATGTTTTCCATTTTATCACCTAAGACCATGAAAACACGAATACAACAATAAATACTATACGAAAATACACCTCAAAGTCGGCGTTTTATTCCAAAAAAACGATGAGTTTTTTTTTTTCTCATTACGCAATGTGTGTTGCAGGATTTTTTTTATGTGGTGCACACTGACCACACAGACCCATTCTCTCACATATGGGCCTACCAGCTTTCTCCCACTTGATTTGAAGCCGCTAGAATTATTGAGTATATATACGTCAGAAACATTGGCTCGTAAGACGTATTTATACGCCGAAAACAGTCAAAGGGTTAAAGGAGGGGTTTGGGATATTGGCAGTTTGGAGGGATATGTTGTGCATCTTTATACGTATATTCTTCTAAACTGTTGTATTCTGAGCACCTCTGCAAAAGCAGTGATAATGTGTGAGTGTGGTGAAAGTGTTGAATGATGATGAAAGTATTTTCTTTTTGGGGATTTTCTTTCTTTTTTTTGGGTCACCCTGCCTTCGGTGGGAGACGGCCGACTTATTATTATTATTAATTTAGGGAAATGGAGCACAGATCCAATTCCCTTGATCAAGAGCCCCTCACCAAGAAACCTCCCTTGAGGGGGAACTTCACATCCTGAAATTTTGTTCATATCCAGAAGCAAAAAATCGATCGATTGACTTCGTATCCTGAAAGATTCGCATGGTGGGGTATTCGTAAGCCGGGTTCCACTGTATTATTATTACAAATTATTATTACAAGTTATTATTATAATTATAATAAAAAAGCACTAAACCCACAAGGGTTGTGAATAGCTATAGAGTGAAGGGATACGAAAGCAATAAATTTCTAGTTAAATTACTAGTGTTTGACTAGAGAAAATGTAATTCTTCCGACTCTCCTACAAACCGCTTGGTAAACAAATCTCATATTTATGTCAATTTTTATACTGTGGGCGTATGTATCATGTTTATATGTTACATAGCATACTTACATAATTTTGAAAAAAAATATCATAGATGGATTAATGGAAAGGTCTATATTAATGTAATATATGACATTTAATGAGCCCAAGAGATTATTATTAGTATTAATATGGCGTCTTCAAGAGCAGAGAGATTCTTGGTGATTTTAATGTGTACCTGCATGCCAGCACAGTGTGTAAGTATATTTAGGTACAGGTACACAAGTATAATTATCAGAGTACATATAAAATATGAAATAACCTTATAACACTTGAAATTTTGGAATGTTTCCAGACATAATACGTATATGTGCTCACGGAGAATGTAAACAAACTGGGTGGGGTGCGGTGACTGTATTAGAAAGACAGGTGGAGGGAGCCGTATAGTGAGTTTTGGTCATTATTTGAAATGTCCGTATTAGCAGAACGCTGTAAAGCAGGGCCCTACTGTACTCAATTTTAGGATAATGCCAATACCGGCAAAATTAGTCGAAGCACACTGATACTAGAACTGATAATGATGCCGTCAAAATTGGTTGACATCCCCCAATACCAATATGTACCCAGTTTAAGGCAATACTAATTACATTAATATTAGCCAAGACTCACCAATACTGATACTTTTGCACACCCTTAATTATGATTATTTAGCAAAAAGCTAACAGTAAAATATTAATTCAGCCTTAAGAAAATTGTCATTGTTTAATTAAAGCTATAGTTTCTATTCAATCTCTACCAAATAAATGTGAGCTCTCTACACATCATAAAATGAATAAATAACAAAAAAGGCACAATACCGTGACTGGAACGATACACAAATAACCCGCAAATAACCCTAATTAAACTGTCCAAACGTAGATCTACGTTCACTCGTGTAGCGCACCGAATGTAGATCTACGTATTTTTTTACATTCTTTCTTATGGAGAAAATCAAGGTCGGAGCGCTACATGTGCAAACGTAGATCTACGTCTGGACAGTTTAAGGGTTAACAAAGTATGAAGGCATTTGGTAAAAACCTAACCAAGAAAAATATATTTATAATTAAGACTTAAGGAAAATCGTAAATGGTAGAGTTAGTGAGTTTTCTGAGAGCAGTCTTTTGTTGAGTTATAATTGGCCTGAGGTGTGCAACCAAAGTGGATCCCCAGGCAGATTCCATTTGTGAGGTACAGATGGATGAGAGAAAAGAAAGTGCTAGGAGTGTAGGTTGATGAACATGGTAGCAAATTTTGAAGTCTATTCTTACTGTCTTAAGAGATTTTCTGATATATGATAAATTTTTTTTCATACATCAGCCGTCTCCCACCAAGGTAGGGGGACCCGAAAAAAAAAAACACTTTCACCACCACTCACTCTATTATGCCTGCCAGAGGCATGCTAATACCACTGTACTTCCCACCTCCAGGACTCAAGCTTGGCTAACCAGTTTCCCTGAATCCCTTCACAAATGTTACCGTGCCCATACTCCAATAGCTTATCAGGTTCTGAGAATCATTTGCTTCCACTCACTCCTATACAACACTTTCACACACATCTGCTGCATGTTCAAGCCCCTCACACACAAAACCTCCTTTATCTCCCTCCCACCAACCTTTCCTAAGATAACCCCTACCCAGCTTTCCTTCCACTACAGATTTATACACCCTCCAAGTCATCCAATTTTTCTCTATCCTCTCTAAATGTCCAAACCACCTCAAAAACTCCTCCTCAGCCCTCTGGATAATATTTTTTAGTAATCCCATGCCTCCTCTTAATGTCCAAGCTATGAATTTCAGTTTGTTGTCTACTATTAGATTTGGAATTTTCCTTCTTCTTTTTGTCCTTTTAAGTCATTGAAAATGAGTGAGGAGAAAGTGAAGAAAGAGGTTATGTGACAATTTAAGAATAATGTAGCAGCAAAAGCTAAATCTGAGCCAAACTGCTGCACAGCCACATCAGAAGAAAGATGGTAGTAAAAGATCAAGTAACTCAGCTGAACAAGTCTGTGAAATGTTCAACAAACTTTTGACTAAGTTGGATACATCAAAGGCAATGGGATTTGACAAGGTGTCACTGTGGATTCTGCTGGGCCAGCAGCTATGATCGTCAAAAAATCAATGGACACATCAGAGTTACCAGAGATTTGAAAGACAGTGAATGTTGTCCCTTTATTGAAGCATTGTGACAGGCAGTAAGCACTGAACTACAGACCAGTTTCACAGACATAAATAATAATCAGCACTGGTTCAGATATGACAAATATTGTCTTACCAACCAGTTGGGATTCTATGACAAAATAACAGAAGTAAGATGGCCATTGAGGCAGTCCCCCATATCATGACTAGTTAATGGTCCAAGTTAGAACAAAATGTCGTCATAAGTTTCATTCTCCTATAAAGAACAAAAAGGCAAAATACCATGACTGAAATACACAAATAACTCGCACATAGGACAGAGGAGCTTTCAAAATGTCGTCGTAGGCTTCTCTCTCCTACAAGCAGGTTATTTGTGTATTGTTTCATTCTCCTATGTGTGGGTTATTTGTGTATTCAGGTAAAAGAAAAAGTAAACATATTGGCAAAGATGATACAATACTTTAATTCTGTTTTGTGAAAATACTTTACTTACTATCTTCCTGAAGGTCCAATAATGGGTTGGATTAGGATACGTTGTTAGTGCCCAGTCCCGTAACATTGTTCTGGGAACCATTGCATTTTGTACTTCCTTCATAATGTCCCTCAGCACTTGATGAGAGGCCTGAGATCCTCGGGCCTGAAAATTCATAAAACATTGCCAATAATGTGACAAGTCCCTCATATTCTATAACAAGTTCCATTTGAATCTGTGGATTGGTGGTGTGCAGTAATCTAATCAATAAAGAGGAGGTTACACAGTTTTTAGTATTTTATTGGTAAAAGTATGCTCCAAAAAACTTACCAAAGTCAAATGACTTTTGTAACTTCAGCCCAAAGGCTGTGCAGTAGCAGATGGGAGCAAATGAAATACTGTGCTATAAGAAGAATGATTTATATAATACTGATGTGATGGGTCAAAGTAAGATTAGAACAAAGGGAAAAAGGATGAAAAGATGAGATGGCAGCTGAATGATAGTCTGGAATATGAATGAGTATGAAGAGCAACAGGAATGCCTGTATGTTTGAAATATATGCAAAAGTACAATTCCTTAGTATGATGAGGAACTCAAATGTGTGACAAATTCTACAATAATATTAAAGAAAACAATGTGTTATCAGAGAAAAGAACACAATCAATACCATATTTCTTTAAGTCATCATAGAAATGCAAAAAATTGTTACATGATTTTTAGAGTGATTAAATGCCTTAAGCCTTAAAGAAATTTCAATGTTTAAAGTCAATATTTTTGCCTCATAACTTTATCTAACACATTATTTACAAGCTGTGCATATACTCCACAAGAGGATTACAACAGCTATTAGTAAAGAACCATTTTTTTATTTGATTTGTATTGTAATGGTTTGTCATAAAATTTCTCTAAAAAATTTTCCCTTATTTCATGGTTGGTTAAGTTAGAAGAAGCTTAACTTCAGAACACCTCTGGCCCCAATCAATCTGATCCGAGATTGGTTTATAAGGACAATTCTTAAAACCATTAACAGTTTTTTTTTTTTAATACACCAGCCATCTCCCACCAAGGTAAGGTGGCCCAAAAAATAAAAAACATTTTCATTATCATTCACTCTATCACTGTCTTGCCAGAGGTATGCTGATACTACAGTTCAGATGCCCCTCTAAACTACAAACATCCCCAACTCTCCTGCTGAGTGCAGGCACTACACCTCTCACTTTCAAGACTCAAGTCCGGCTAACAGGTTTTCCTGAATCCCTTCACAAATGCTACCTTGCTCACACTCAACACATCATGTCCTAAGAAACAAACTGCTTCCACTCATTCTTATTTACATGATCACTCATACCTGCGGGCAACTCCTACCCTGCCTTCCCTCCACTACAGATTTATACACCCTCCAAGTCATCCTATTCTGCTTCATCCTCTCTAAATGTCCAAACCAATTCAACAACCCCTCTTCAACCCCTGGATAATACTTTTAGTAACCTTGAATTTCCTAATCTCCAAGCACGAAATATCTGCATAATATTTACAACACACATTGCCCTCGGATATAACATCTCCATTATCACCAACCTCCTCCTCGCTGCAGCATTCAAACCCATGCTCCACACCCATGCAAGTGTTGGTACCATTATACCCTCATACATTTCCCTTTTTGCCTCCATGGATAACATTCTTTGTCTCCACAGATGCCTCAATGCACCACCCACCTTCTTTTTCCCCTCAGTCATCAATTCTATGGTTCATCTTGTCTTTCATATACCAATCTGCTGACAAATCCACTCCCAAGTATCTACACATTCACTTCCTCCATACTCCCTCTTCCCAATCTGATATCCAACCTTTCTTCATCTAACTTGTTTGTTACCCTCATCACCTTGCTCTTTCCTGTGGTCACTTTTAATTTCCTTCTTTTATATACCTTCCCAAATTCATCCACCAACTTTTGCAACTTCTCTTCAGAATCTCCCGAAAGAACTGTGTCATATGTAAAATTCAACTGTGACAACTCTCATTTTGTATTAGATTCTGCACATTTTAATTCCACACCTCTCCCCAACACCCTAGCATTTACTTCTTCCACAACCCCATCTCTAAACATGTTAAAAAACCATGCTGACATCACACATTCAGCAACCTACCACCTATTCCGTACAGATATAGAACTATAAAAGAGTATGTAGAGCACCAGAAACGATGTTATCACTACCTTTGTTTTGAAGTTGCTTGTTTTTGCTCTTGACTCAGGTTATGAGACCTGCCTTTGTATATTACCTTCAATTTCTGTACACTGTACACCAAGGAGTACATCATATTGATGTCAGCAGGTGAAGAATGATGTGCCATTCAGCTTAACCTTAGAATACAGCTACCACCATGTAAGCAGGTTTTATTTTATTATACTCTACTACAATATGGTTTGTTCAAATACTCAAGAGGATTTGATAGAGCAGACAGGTACAGGCTGTTTTAGAGGTGGGCAACAGGAACTCAAGGGTACAGTTGGAAGTTAAATACAGGTGAGTCAGAGGGATGTCAGGAAGTATTCCTCAATCTCAGGGTGGTCAGGAGGTGGAATGACCTCAACAAAGAAGTGGTGGAGACAGACTATACATAGTTTTAAGAATAAGTACATTTAGAATGAGTATGTACTGGCACTGAAGAAGTTTCATTATATGGTGCAAGAGGAGAGTGAGGCCATATAAGTTTTAATACAATATGGAAAAGATGTGCCAAACAGGAGGAATACATGAAAATTCACTCGATAATGAAAAATTAAAACATTAATTATACAAAACAGTGGTCTTAGTTGCTGTACATACTGCATAGAGGTCCAGCAGTTTCTCACCAGTCGGATAAAACTTCAGGCACACAAAGATTATAAATATATATTGAAGAGAGATGAAAGCTCGCACCTGTACTGCAGCCAATCTCTCATAATATCTAGTGACAGGTGTATCAGGCTCCAGCTGTCTCTTAGCACATCTTAGTTTATAAATATCCAACAGGGAGAGAGATGACACATTGTCTTCAACCAGCCTCATTTGTGGGGACACTGCAACAACTCTGCTCACACTCAGGTTCACTAACCGACGACTTGTCTCCTGAAAGGTAATGTAAACACTTCATACAGTATTCAAAACACTGGAAAAGTCTAATACTATTCTACTAAGAAAAATAATGCTACCAATTCTAATTGATTCACATTTCACTGGATCTCAAGATTATCTTTAAACGTAATGTTAAGTGTAAAGTAAAAATTACTATTTTCTTTAAAATACCATGTACAGTACTGGAATTCATTACAGTACTATATCAACACCGACATCTTCATCTCAACTACAGTCCAGTAACAATAATCTGACAGCATCAGGACCTGGACCCTTCAATTTAAACAAACTTTTAGGATAAGTAAAAAAAATCAGTGTATTGCTATCACTAGTGTGTGCAACTGTTATGAAATGTTGTACTTAACATACTAACCATGTGATCATACAAAGTATTGTATTTTGCTGGAAATAAAGTAAATTCCCATACAATACAGCAACTAAGTGCCCAAAATGATCAGATGTACAAATAATTTGATGATTTTCATTGATACAGAGTACAGTGGTCCCTCGATAATCTTCAGGCTTGATAGTCGTCCTTTTCGGAAATCAACACGTTATTTTTGTCCAAACATTGGCTCGCAAATGGTCCGTTAACTCGCTAATCGTCGTTCGTCCCGGACACGCACTCACGGCTCTGAGCCGCCCCAGCCTCCCTTCCCAGCCAGTGTGCCGTTGTTTACCAGTGAGCGACGGTCCCCTCACTTGTTCATACGAAATATTTCATAATATTCCATTCATTTTAGTGCTTGCAAGTGCTAAATAAGCTACCATGGCTCCAAAGAAAGCTCCTAGTGCCAAGCCTTTGGTAAAGAAGGTGAGAAATACGACTGAATTTAAGAAAAACATCATTGAACAATATGAATGTGGCGTATCTGGGGCCGAACTGGCCAGGATGTATAACAAACCCCATACAACCATATCTTCCATCGTGGCAAAGAAAAAGGAAATCAAGGAAGCTGTTGCTTGGAGAAAACTGTGGCCAGATTGTATCCACAAGAGGGATTTTGAAGGGTTTGTGGCTGACCCTGATGAGCCTACGTCAATTGTGAAATCTATTGTGGCATTGGGGAGTTCCATGGGGGTTGGATGTGAGTTTGGAGGATGTGGAAGAGTTGGTGGAGGACCACAATGAAGAGCTAACCATTGAGGAGCTGCAAGAGCTTCAGCAGGCACAGCAACAGATCGCAGCTCAAAATTTTGCTGCAGAGGAGGAGGAAGAGAGATGGAAGAAGGTGCCTTCTTCAGAAATTAAGGAGATTTTTGAAATGTGGGGTAAGATGGAAAGATTTATGGAGAAACATCACCCCAAGAAGGATGTTGCAAGCCATATCGGCAACTTGTACAATGACAGAGTCTTGGCCCATTTTAGGGAAGTTTTAACCCTTTGAGGGTCCGTCCCGTAGATCTATGGCTTTACGTTCAGGGTCCAAACCGTAGATCTATGGCTTTACGTTCAGGGTCCAAACCGTAGATCTACGTCATGAGCTCAGCTCACTCTGATAAACTGTGACTGGTACATTTGGGCCTAGATATGAGAGAATACATCTATGTGGTATGTGTGCACCACATAAAACAGATCCTGCAGCACGCTGTGTATAATGAGAGAAAAAACTGAAATCATGATTTTTCGATTAAAACAGCGACTTTGCAGTGTTTTTTGTATGTTTTTTATAGTTCTATTTGCGATTTCTTGGTCTCATTTGATAGAATGGAAGACATATTACAGAAATAGAGATGATTTTGATTGGTTTTAGCACTGGAAATGGCTTGAAACTGAGCTCAAAGTAGCAGAAATGTTAAATTTTTGCCGATATTCTAGAGTAAACAAACGACCTCACACGTCTAATACATGCCAGCTGGTGGGTCTAATATGCATTCACAAATATGGTGATGATATTTATACAATTATTACAGTATTGCATAACAGTATATCTTCTATTTTTTGGTGTGAATAAAAATTCATTATGTGAATAAAAAATCAAAATGGAATTTATTTGTAAAGCCTCAAAACATAACTAATGAACAGAGGAAATGTTAGTTTAGTTCCAGGAATACCTACATTGTTTATTCTGGACCTTATTTTGAAATTGGAATATTTTGAACTTTGTGTTAAATTGGCCATATTAACAATTTCCGATCACTTTAATTTGTAGCTGAAACAGTTGACTTGGCGATTTCTTGTGCTCAATCGATAGAATAGAAGTAATACTAGTGAAATAGCTAAGAATTTGGTTGACTGGAATAATGTAATTGGCCTAAAATGGGAGTCAAATTCGGCAAAATCGCCGATTCGTAAATATCGCTGACACATCAAAATTCGCGAGAGCATAATTTCGTCAATTTTCCATCAAATTTCGTACTTTTTGTTTTATTACCTTCACAAAAAGATTCTCTACCATTTCATAAGAAAAAATAACAAATTTTTTTTTTTTAAATTCTTGCATACTGGGGCACCACTTCAGATTTGGGCCTTGGACCCTGAAGGGGTTAAAGAGACGCCAGAAACAGAGCTCTCTGGACACTTTTTTTGCGAGACAGGACTCCAGTGACTCTCAAGTTGGTCCTAGTGGCATTAACCCTTTCAGGGTCGACAGGCCCTCTCCCAGATTTGTTCTCAGGGTCGACAAATTTTCAAAAAGAAAAAAAGAAAAAAGAAAGAAAGGAAAAAAAAAATATTATGAAAAGATAGAGAATCTTTTCCCGATTATAACGACACCAAAAGTATGAAATTTGATGGAAAACTTATGGAATTATGCTCTTAGAGCGAAGTTAGCGGTCTTGACGACGTTTACGCATCGGCAATTTTGCCCACTTTGAGCCCTATTTTCGGCCAATTCCAGTGTACTAGTCGATAAAAATCATAACTATTTTGTTAGAACTCCATTTTTTCTATCGAATGAGTAAAAGAAACCACACATTTACTGATTTCAACTATCCAATAAAGTGGTCAGAATCTAGCAAGTTTGCCAATTTCACAAAAATTTCAAAAGATGCCAATTTCCAAATAGGGTCCAGAATAAACAAGAGAGGCATTCCTGGCACTAAAATAACATTCCCTCTTTCCACTTTGAATTTTTATTCACACAAAAAATAAGATTTACTGTTATGCAGACTACTGCATTAGTGTAGAAATGGTATAAATAATATCAGTGCACTTGTGAAAGAATATTAGACTCACCAGTTGACATGTATTGGACGCATAGCATGATTTGTTTACTTTTGAACTTTGGCAAAAATCGAAGATTTCTGCTACTTTGAGCTCAATTTCAAGGTACTTTTCATTGTAAAACCAATCAAAATCGTTTCAATTTCTGTAATATGTCTTCCATTCTATAAAATGAGACCAGGAAAACTAGAATACCATCATAAATACCATACGAAAATACAGTGCAAAGTCGCTGTTTTAAACCAAAAACGCTGTCAAAGTTTTTTTTTCTCATTACGCACTGTGTGCTGCAGGATTTTTTTATACTGCACACACTGACCACATAGACCCATTCTTTCATATGTAGGCCTACCAGCTTTCTCTCACTAGATTTGAGGGCATTAGAATTTAGGCGTACTAGTACATCAAAAACCATGGTGCGTAAGCCGTACTAGTACGTCAGAAACCCTGAAAGGGTTAAGAAACAGAGAAGAGAAATATGTAACCCCAGAAAAGGATTTGGTACCTGAGGTGTTGATGGAAGGGGATTCCCCTTCCAAACAGTAAATAATCCAATCTCTCTCCTCCTCCAGTCTTCCATACATTAAGAAGAATCGCCAATAAAGGTAAGTGTTATGCTGTTAATGTTTCATTCATCATGTCCCATTGTATTGTTTATGTACTACATCTATATTTCATGTAAAAAATTTTTGTTTTAATACTGTACTTCCGGGTCTCAGGAATGGATTAACTGTATTACATTATTATGGGGAAAATCGATTAAAAAAACATCTATTTCGATAATCGTCGCACTTCCAGGAACGGATTAACGACGATAAACGAGGGATCACTGTATTTAAAAAACACTAAACCTGTGTGGATTATTCAGTTTAAAAATTACAGTAACATGAGTAATTTTGAAAAATGCTCAGAAAGCAGGAAAATAATCAGCTGTTCTGAGTTCCTGACACTCCTCAAACAACTGAGAATTCTATCTTATTACTGTACTGTACTTGTAGGAGGAGACAAGCTGTATTACAGGTCCTCCATCACAAATCCGGCATCATTGGGACCTGTAGTGTGCCGGATTACTGAGTTTGCCAGATTACAGAGTGGTTAGGCTAGAATACACTTAATAAAATTAACCAACTTGATTTACACAGTTCATTGAACATTGGCAAAAATAAAAAATTTCCGCTACTTTGAGCTCAATTTCAAGGTACTTTTCGTCATGAAAGCAATCAAAACCATGTCTATTTCTGTAATATTTCTTCCATTCTATCAAACGAGTCCAAAAAAATGAGAATACAACCATAAAAACCATACGAAAATATATTGCAAAGAGGCGGCTAATGGCCGAGAAGTTAACTCCCTTATTTATCGTCCGTCTTTTTTATTTTTGTTGTACGTTAAGAAGCATCTTTCCATCATACAGTGCCCAAGTTTCAATGAGATAGCCCCACAAACAACTGAGAGAAAAAAAACATTTACCAAAAATCATATATGGCAAGCCCAAGCCAGGTACTGGAAATAAGTCACTTTGTCTGACTTTTCTGGGTTATTCCAGGTTCTCTATACATACACTGCTATGTATGATAATCTATGTAACTGTATTTGTGTATACCTGAATAAACTTATTTACTTCTAGTCTGTCGACTGAGTACAAGAAACCGCCCATTCACTTATTTCAACTACCCAATAAAGTGGTCAGAAATTGGCAATTTGGCCGATTTCACACAAATTTTAACAGATGCCAATTTCAAAATAGGATCCAGAATAAACAATGCAGACATTTATGGCACTAAAATAACATTTTCTCTGTTCATTAGTCACGGCTACAGGCCCCTCT